AATGGTCTTAAAATGGTCCTAAAATGTATTTGATTTGGTGAAACCTGCAGAAACCCTGTATTTGATATGCAACTGTGATTCCCCTGTTTGTGTCAAGTGTTCTGTCCTGAGTTTGCAGTCAGGAACTCATGTAAATATTTGACATGTTTATAGTGAATTCCTTGTATTTTTAATCTGTCCCTGCTGTCTTAATGTTTTATTTTAGATACGTCTTTGGTTTACAGCACACTAAGCAGTGATCATTTTTATTGAATGTATTTAATTTGACACAATTGGCGTCTTATTAGAATGACATATGGGCTCATTAATAGAAAATGACTCCTGAGGGCAAATATCGCTCCTGTAGAAATGAAGTCTGTTGTGGATGTATTTTGCAGAGCGTGTGCATGTAAGATGACCTACCAGCTCTTGTTTATTTGGAGTCGCATGGCTGGAATTCTAGGGAGGGGTGAATGCTATTTCTGATCCCAGATTCCTGTATCCACACACACACACAGAGAGAGAGAGACACGCCCTTAAATTAACACATGAAGATGCAGCGACGTCCATTCATTATTTTGGTGCTCTGTTAATCAGCTAGTTTGCTTAGTTTTTGGATGTCTTTTTGCTTAAGGCATTGATTATGTCAGCACATTTCAGAGATGTTTATCAACATTGCTGACGGTGTCCAGTTGCAGTCATGCATGCAGTAAATCCCAGACTGATTCACATGGACAGTTGCATGCTCTGGATTACAGCCAGAACCTTTTTTATCTGTCAGACTTTACTGAGCTCCGCAAATTCACACGTTGATCACATTCAATAGAGATCATGAAGGCATTCATAAACTGAATCATATGTTTTAGAAACATTTGACAAACTTAGAGTAAACTTTAACAAGCAATTTAAAAAAAATGACTAGAAGTGACACGGTGGCTCAGTGGTTAGCACTGTCGCCTCACAGCAAGAAGGTCTCTGGTTCAAGTCCCGGCTGGGTCAGTTTTCATTTCTGAATGGAGTTTGCTCCTGCGAACTGTACTGCAAGTCCAGGGACATTGGTGGACCCCTGGGTAGCTTGCTGGGGTCAGAGGCCCCTAGGTGGAGGGCCAGGGGATCCCCTGGAGCCTATACTGCAAGTCCAGGGAGTGAGGTGGACTTCTGGGTAGCTTGCTGGGGTCATAGGCTTCTAGGTGGAGGGCCAGGGGGCACCCTGGGGCCTATACTGCAAGTCCACGAGAGATGTGGACCCCTGGGTAGCTTGCTGGGGTCAGGGGTCCCTAGGTTGAGGTCCAGGGGGCATCCTGGGCACTATACTGCAAGTCCAGGAAGAGAGGTGGACCCCTGGGTAGCTTGCTGGGGTCAGGGGCCCCTAGGTGGAGGTCCAGGGGGCACCCTGGGGCCTATACTGCAAGTCCAGGGACATCGGTGGACCCCTGGGTAGCATGCTGGGGTCAGGGGCCCTTAGGT